AAAACATACTCCTTGTACAATTATAACAAGTGAACTTAACAATTTTTATATTTAATTAAATATAATTGTATCAAAAAATGTGATTTTTTGATAAACATTATTACTTACAACTGATTGAAAAAATAATAAAATAAAACAATTGGCAATAAAATGGGTTTAATGTAATCGGAAATCTTAATATTTTTACATATTCATGAATTCATATTTTACTATCATAATTATTATTTTATTTTATTTTATTTTTTTTAATTTTTAACCCGCATCAACTTAGGCCGTTATGTGGTTTTTAACAGTGGGGGATTGTGCTGTAGGTTTTAAACACGTGTGTTTATTAGTTTGGCAGATTTTTTAGTTGGCAGTGGGCACCACCCAGATAGCAAAATTATAATATTATGACTTTGTAATATTAATTTCTCCATAATAAAATAATATTACATTTATAATGAAATGAGGATATATTTTTATTATTATTATTAGATTATTTAAATAATATTTTAAATATAAGGTAATAATAATATATTTTTTATATTTGAATAATATTATTATATTAATAAGAATATAATAACGTTATTTTTTAAATATTATTTTTATAATATTATTTTATTATTTTTATTAGGTATACATATATAATATCTTAATTACGTATTATTAAAAAACAATATTATAATATAATTTTAGGTGGTAAATGTGCTGACTTAAGGTTTATGTAAATACTAGACTGGAGTAAATTCCCCAGTTGCCACCCCCCAAATAACGCCACTGAGTGGTGAGTACAGGGGCGGGGATCCAGAGTTAGGAAACTGTGGGTCAGGAAATTTCAAGGGGCCACTTATTAAAACCAAATTAGAAATCTATACTTGTGTACTAGGTATATAAAACAAAAAAAAGGTGCTCCGATGTACAGTAGGTTACAAGTGGGTCACTGTATAATGGATAGTATGAAATTTGAATTCAATGATATAATATCATTGTATAAGAAAAACGATTCTGAGCGGAGACGGTATGTCAGTCTAGGTATAAGCCATATTATTTTCTTATCTATCGTATTAAAAAAAATTTACCTATAATAAATTCCAAATTAATCATATCCCAATATCCATTAGGTACTTATAATGCATTATACGTCAACAACAAACCCTGATACTATCATAGTCCATACTCCATAGGTATATAATAGTGTACTTTAGATGTTTCAAGTACCCACGAATAATATTACACAATCACAAAAAAATAACTAAAATAGTTATTCTAGGTTTTTTTTTATGTAATTTTATCCAAAGTTGAACTTAAAATGACTATAAAAATAAACTGTGCTTATGTATTTTTTAGATTTTTTGGTAACAGAATTAACTACAATGGTGAAATCATGTTTTAAATTTTCAATCCTTAGATATAAAAGTTGAACATTTTATACATTTTTAACTACAAAATAATTATTCAATTTTAAATTTGATAAATTTTGTCAAAATTCGATCTTTAAATGCTTATAAAAAAATTGTGCAGCCTATGTATTTTTAATATTTTCAACTGATATTGTAACAATATATCAGGAGCCTTATATTAAATTTTTACACTTTTTGGCATAACAGATAAAACTTTATTGATATTTATAGAAAAAAAAACTAAACAAATTGAAAACTGAAAAGCTCAAAAAGAGTCAAAATATTTTTGCTGTATACCTAACCTGCTGTACATTAGGTTACAACTTACAAGTGCAGGGGGTCGCTGTAATGGATGGTATTAAATTTGAATTTATAATTATATATAATATCATTGTATAAGAAAAACAATTATTTTCAAAATTGTACATTGTATAGGAAATGCTAATATGAACATTCAGTGAAATTTTCATTTATCTACAGTTATTTGTTTTTGAATTACAACAAAATAAGGAAATCGCTACATGAGAAATCGAGTGAATATCCAATGTTGTAAAAATTTGAATTTCAAACGCTCATAAAAATTTAATTTAACTTTCCGGTAGAGATTTTTTTATTGATAAAGGTAGACAAACTTATGAGTAATCTTGTATTAAATTTTCAAATCTTAGATTTAAAAAGAAAAACTTTTACGAATTCTTAACTCGAAATAATTTTCTATATTTCGTGATTTTTCCATATTTTGTCAATTTTTGAACTTTAAATGCTTATAAAAGAAAATTGTGACTAACTATTTTTAATATTTTTCATCTGCCTTTAAACAATATACTAGGAGCCTTATAATACATTTTCAAGCTTTCTAAGCTAACAAATAAAATTTTATTGATATTTTCAGAATAAAAACTAAAAAAAAATGGAAAATGAAAATGTCCTTAAACAGTTCAAAACAAATCATAATATTTTAAAAATTTTATCGTGTATAGAAAATGCAAATATAGTGAAAATTCAGTGAAAATTTCATGTATTTACGATCATTTGTTTTAGAGTTACACCAAAAACCAAAATCGGTTTTTTGGAAAACAGATTTTGAGTAAAAATTTCCGTTATTCCTTATTTTTTATGTGTTTAATCCCGGCGCTTGTGAAAACTATTGGGAATTTTAAAATTTTACCTCCCGAATGCACCAACTAGATTCACTTTCCAATCGAACAAGATACTGAAATTGAAAATCGAAGCATTATTTCGACTACCTATCGTGTACACAGGCACAAAAATAAATCAAAAAAATTTAAAAAAAAAAACACATTGTAAAATCAATACATTCATCGTTCCACTCAGAATCTAAAATTCATTTATACTATATGTGTGTTTATTTAAGTGTCCAACTACTCAAGATCTGAAAAGAGGCCAATTTGATCAGAAAATATTAACTGTGGGTCAGCTGACCTCCTGAACCCTCCCCTAGATCCGCCCCTGGGTGAGTACACACTACAGTCTACAGTCAGTGCGCATACACGGTGCATAGTGTAGTGGATCTGGACAAAGTTTAATTTTGTTTATTTTATTAAAACGCCTACAAAAAAATCACCGAACAATAAACATAACCTTATCGTGTGAAATGAATTTTTTCTGTTTACACTTTTAGAGTATAGACTCTATTTCAAATAAGAATAAACCGCTTTTGCGCAATGCGACTGAGGGCTGGCGTGCACGACAGTCACCGATCATAACAGTCCGACAAGTATACAGTATACACCAATTTCAAATAAATTGTACGTAAATGGTTAGCGCACGATAATATCTTAAATTGTTGGTTAGCGTGAGAATAAACACGTATAATATTAAGTTGTGCTAATTGGAATTGGCTGTATATGGTTCACTACTCTATGCGGCGGTAGGTAGCGCGCACGTCGCAAACCGCTGGTTCTTGGTGGTGGTGTATGCGCGACGCCGAACGTAAAGCTGTCGCGACGGCGGTATATAATTTTACCGCTATAGTGTAATTTACAGGTTATGTCGCAAACTCACAAATCTCGATTCATAGTACTTGTGTTTGTACTTTTTCATTGTTCTCAAGACGACTTAACAATTGGAATTTGGTTTTAACAGTGTTCATATACCTTAATACCTACGTACTACGCGCGTAGCCAATACCTATTCGAACACCATATATTTGAACTGTCGTCGTTACCGTTTGAAGTGTAGGTAAGTTTATTTCATGTTAAATAAGTGTTGTATTTACTATTTTATGGACTGCTGCAGTTACTACAGTTCTAAAGGTTTACTGTCACCATGTACATACGTCATAGGTACACCTTTATTTTTTTATGCTTCCATTATGCTTTGTCATTTTTATTGTTACAAAAACCTATTCTTAGAATACCATATAAGCATTGGCGTCAGAATATATATTTACCTATGACAATTGTCATAGGTAATTTTAGTAGGTAGGGGGTCACTTTTGTTATTCTATAGCTATTTTATGAAAATTTGTTCAATAGACAACATACAAACTATACTTGGTGTATGGTAAAGTAATTATAAGAAATAGGTAGGTGTCAAAATTGTATGTGGAGGTGTCTAATATCATAGGTAAAATTTTGGACTTCGGCGCCACTGCATATAAGTTATTGTTACTTAAGTACTTTACATAGGTACCTATTTAGTTTATTAATTATTTGTATTATAAAGTTAATCGTCAAGACGGCAATATACAATAAGATTTATTTACTGTTTAAATTAGTTTTAGTTATTTCATATTTACATAGATATATAGGTATAGGTATTTGGTGCAAATAGACAATTATTAAACTTTTAATATACCTACCTATTTAAATTATAACTATAAATTTTAAACCCTAAATTTAACATTTTATTGATTGGATAGTAACTATCAGGCAGTCTTCTAAAATATATTTTTCTAATAGTTTTTAATCAAAGATATAAATATACCATTAACCAAGTATTTTAAATACAAGAAAACAAGTACTTTATGAATAGGTACTTTGGTTTCATGCTAATGGCAACAATTTTTAACTACTAGAGATTATATTATGCTCATGTAGGTACATATCATAGTTTTGGTATTTTTGTTACTATATTTCACTCCTATGCTGCACTGCAACTGGGAAAGATAGTTAGAACTAAACTACAAAAATATCAAAAATAATGTTTTGGTTTTATATTGTTAATGATATCATATTTTATAAGGAACTGTGTCTATAAATACTCTAAGTCATAAGGAGTTTATGGCATTTAATTAAATCATCAAGACTAATTGTTTTATATGGTTATATTATCAGTCTTAAATTGTATTTAGAAAAAAAACAATATTATAATGATAGAGGTAGGTACTCAAATGATTTACAAGACCGCCTGTAGTTTATTTTTTAGGTACTCTAGAATTTCATTCCTATACTTGTGTAAATTAATTTATCAATTCATTAAATTTGTTTTAAGATACCCACCTCAGTTTATAAAAAAAATAATCATCTATAATAGGTTACCAACGTGAAAGTTAATAATTTAATATTAAGTATTTTCTATATAATAGTTTTAGTAGGTAATTAAATATATCTAGTAATTATCTTTCATGGCATACATTTAGGTATAAAGAAGAAAATGGGGAAAAATAAAAATATACCTCTTAGCCGTAGAACCAAAAAAAGACGTATTGCAGATCAAATATCAATAATGACTAGAAGTCTTCAAGCTAACCATCCTATTATTTCTTCAACTTCTCATGAAAGTCCTGAATTGATACACCACAGCTCAGATATTTCTGAGAATGAATTTATTCAATGTAATGAACTGCCCAATATTTTACCAGTTGATCTTATTTCGGATAATCAAAGACCTGCTTTATCTTCAGAAGACGAATTAGTCAAAACGAGTAATTCATTAGAACAATTTATTGAAAATGTGAGAATATGGGCTTCAAACTTTAAAATCTCAAACAATTCGCTTGATGCACTTTTAATTATATTGAAGGAACATAAATGTTTTCAACAACTTCCTAGAACTGCTAGGACTGTTATGCAGACCAAATCAATAGATATTAATAATATGCATATAGTAGAGCCTGGTCACTATTATCATGTTGGTATTAAAAAAGGTATTAAACGGTATTTACCTAATGAATTTGAAGGATTTGATATTAAAATTGTTATTGGAGTAGATGGACTTCCCATTTCAAAATCTAATTCAAACCAATTTTGGCCTATACTAGCCTATATTAGACCAAGTAGTGCAGTTTTTCCCATTGGAATATATTTTGGTAAATTGAAACCAAAAGATAGCAATCAATTTTTGGATGAAATGTGTAAAGAGGCAAGTGAACTTATCACAAATGGATTAGAAATAAATAATATAGTTTTTAATTTTTCAATTGATGCTCTATGCTGTGACGCACCTGCGAAATCATTTTTATTAAAAACCAAAGGACACTCTGGTTTTTATTCCTGTACTAGATGCCAAATAGAAGGAGAATATTTACAAAACAGAATGTGTTTCCCATATGAGTCACTTTCAAATGCTTCACCTAAACGCACCCATAATGATTACATAGAAAAAAATAAAGAAGAATTTCATATTTCAAATGATGTATCAATTATAGCCTCTTTACCTGGAATTAATGTTGTTACTTCCTTTTCATTGGACTACATGCATTTGATTTGCTTGGGCGTGGTTCGTAAACTTATTATGATGTGGATTAAAGGACCTGTAAGTGTTCGTTATCCATCGTGGAAAATAAAAGAAGTTTCCTCAGCTATGGAAAAATTAAAAGCACAGATTCCATGTGAGTTTGCTCGAAAACCCCGTAGCTTCGACGAAATAAGTCGCTGGAAAGCAACTGAGTATCGAACATTTTTATTGTACACCGGTCCAATTGTTATGAAGTCAATTCTCAAAAAAGATCACTGGAAACATTTTCTAGCTCTTAGTATTTCCATGACAATTCTTTTAAGTCCAGATCATTCAAAATTTTTATTCATCGCTCGAAATCTATTAGATTATTTTCTTAAACGCTATGAACAAATTTATGGATCCTATTTAATGTCTCACAATTTCCATGGTTTAAATCATATTTCTGATGATTATGATATGTATGGTCCTTTGGATAATGTTTCAGCATTTCCCTTCGAGAACTACATGGGACAGTTAAAAAAAATGTTGAGAAAACCTCATAAACCTTTAGAGCAAATAGTTAAACGTTATCGATGGCGTAGCGCACAAGTGTGATAAGTGACATTTTCGTAATTGTTCAGGAGAGCGATTTTTAAGTTTGAGATGTCATAACAAATTCAAAAATGTAACGAACTGTACGACATCTATCGGAGTAAATAATGAACTATTCACTTACAACGTTTGGGCATAATGTGCAGAATTGTATGATTAAATTGATTATGCACTTAACTCATTTTTCAAAAAAATGTCACTTATCACACTTGTGCGCTACGCCATCGATATAATGAAACTTTTTTACTACCATTGACTGAAAATAAATTGAAACAAAAACAAATATGCTCTGGATTACATCAAAATGACCAAATAATTCAAAATAATATAAATGAATTGCAATTTAAAACTTTAAATTTGAAAAATGTGACACTTAAGACACATGTTGAAGCAGATTCGTATTTCTTAACCACAAATAATGAAGTAGTTAAACTTATGAACATTATTCGTTCAACAGAAACACATGTTATAAGATTAGTTGGCAAAATATTTTTACAAAAATATGATTTGTATCAAAAACCTTTTGAATCTTCTAAGTTGAATGTTAATATTGTAAATTTATTAAGTAATGAATTTTTTGACTTTAGTGTTAAAAGTATAAAAAAAAAAATGATTTTAATACCGTATTCAAATAATGGTTTCATTTCTATGCCTATTGTACATAATGTTAATGCTTGATTTTAAATTCTCAAGTTTCATGTGTATAAATTTATATTTAAGTTATTATATTGTATAAGTAAAATTTAAATTTTTTAATATTGTATTATAATTTATTGTAGTTTAAAACATGTCGTGGTCTGTAGTTGAGTTTACTACCGACAATTCAATGTATGTTGTACCATCTTTTTGGTTAAAACAAGATGAGTGTGCTTGGCCAACACAAAATGTATCCAAATTTATTACTCGACGCAAGCAGCCGAATGAAATAGAATTCATTTTTCTAGACGCAAAACAAATCGGTAAAGCATTAGGTATGTTTCAGATGGTTTTAAATATAATTGTTGCAATGGTTTGTTTATATTATTATTACATAACATGTTATACAGACTCATATGAAGATGCAAAAAGTCAATTGTCCATAGCAGAATTTACATCAGATATGTCATCAAGTGAAAATAAGAAGAGTAGAAAAGTCCGAAGAAAGAGGCCTTGTGATTCGGATGTTGATAGTATAATAGTGAAACACAAAAAAAAAAGTATTGCCGAAATCTGTAAAAGAGAAGAGTTCTAATAACTTATGGAATGTATTATCCACTGATGGATCATCAAGTAAGATTTACATGAATTATAAAATCATGTTTTTAGTAAATTGACTAATATTGTATTATAAATTAATTAGGTGAAGATGATGAAATTGCAATTGAGAAAGGAGACCAAGCTTTAAAGACATTGTTACCAAACTGTGCCCACACATCAATTAGTTCATCAATTACAGAGGTCACCATTCCTGCAGTCGATAAACATTTAGTTCAAGAAAAGAGCTTTAATTCATTAAATATATTATCTGGTAAGTTAAAAATATATCTATAAATAAGGGGTGGGCAGTAACAAAGGTAACCTTGACTGATTGGACTTAAGAGGCTACTGAAAACATAATGTTATAACTAGTTATTATTACTAAATTATTTATAATTTATTAAATTATGTATAAACTACACTATTATTATACTGCTACTTTTTCAAACAGTGTAAAACTGTAAACTAATTTTGGCAATACTAATACAATATTTGTATGGGGGTAATGGGCATCAATTTTAATCAGAAATAAGTATTAATATTGTTGCTAATTCAATTTATTTTCATTGTTATATAGACCCCCTATACCCTATACCCTATACCCTTGTGAAAAAATCTGTGTCCGCATCTGGGTGTAACTAAAACAATCATTGATTTAATAAGGTCACTTTAAATAGTAATAGATTGTTTTGATTTAAATTTAACTGATTGCTCAATTATTATATTTGTTTGTTTTCAGCTAGTTTCGACGAATCTATAATAGTTGACCCTACTGTCAATGAAAATGAAAAAGTCAAACCACAAAATGTGTTAAGTCAAGGTAACATTAAAATCTTTTTTTTATTCTATAACTATTAAATATTAAAATTAATGAATACTTTTTATTTTTAATAGATTTTGATATATTCTTAGCGGATGATTTTCAAAGTACTGTTTTAAGCTACCTTGCCAAAATAAGTGTTGATATAGGAGAAATCAACAAAACATTAAACAGGCATGAAGATATTTTAAATACTTCATCTTTTGGAAATAGAGCCAACGAAAGTTCCTCTTCTGATATTAACCAGCATTCAAATTTACGATTTCCAATACAAAATATGACTGAACTTGAACTATGTGAAGAATATTTAACTGATAATACATTTAAATCAAAAATGGTAGGTTAAATAAAAATTGAAACATTTTTACAGTAATTTGTAACTAATGATTTTTTTTTTTTGTCATAACATTATTTCAGGTAACACAATTAAGTTATCTAGCAAAAAAATCGTTATCCAGTACTGTCAGACAAATAACATCTAGATTGATAAGTGATACAGTTTTACAAGAATTTAGCTATATTGGACAAAAGAAGAAGAAAATATTTAATAAATTATTGATTTGCAATCTCATTATAGGTGAGTTATTATTAAAAATATATACTCAGTATTATTTTGATTAAAATGTTTTAATTTTTTACATGTCTTTACCTAATTATATTTTTGTATTGATTTTAATTATTATAGATGCTGTCAGAAATATATCAAAGTTTTCCAATGCTGTAAATTTAGAAATTGAAGAACCACTGAAAGTTTTTATTGCAGGTGCAAAGTCTAGAACAGGGGCGTATTTAGACTTACTTCTAGGGGGGGCGACTTATTTAATTTTTCACTAAGTATGGACCCGAAAAAAATCCCATTTCATAGCCACGGGTATTGTACGCCGAATGCTTGAAATTATCACGCACCCTCGTTGCGATGGTTTGACACGTATAAACTTAAACGATCTAATTAAAATGTGAATATATTTTATTAGATTTTAGAAACGTTTTTAACAAAAAATTTTTATAATTAGTTTGATTAAATAACAAAATCAAGGTTCCTTTTTTTTTTTGAAAAACGATCAATAATGTCGTTAACATCAATAATTATATCTTGATGGATATTCATTAAAGCCAAACTAGTCAACCTTTGTTGGCCCATTTGGTTTCTCAGCCATGTTTTTAACCTATACGTAACAAGCAATACAAGCATAATTCATAAGTTAAAAAGCATTGTTACGGGCAATTATCAATATAAAAGTTTGTTGCTCAAAATATAAACTATTTATTATTAATGTTCAAGTAGATATTATGTATGTATACATAATATATGCTTGTACCCAAATAAAATAATACAATACATTAAGCTATAATAAAATATAAGCAGTTAAAATAGTATAGATCATCCATTTTAAAATGTGCAGCATGCATAAAATAAAATGTAAGTTTTACTGGTTCGTTTATGAATTTTAACTGTTAACTTATATAGGTATTTGAATAAACTTAATGTAATAAGTAATAACTTAATATATCTTGTTAATTAATTTGATTTCGTTATAAAAATTATCCAAATTAAAAAAAATTGAAGTGTGTATCTCACATACAATCGATTTAATAAATACAGATTCAGGGGGGGCGGTCGCCCCTTCGCCCCCCCTTAAAATACGCCCCTGGTCTAGAATAAAAATATAAGTGGATATTTTATATTTTATTATACATTATACATACTTATAATATGTAATATATAATATATAATATGTATAGTTATTCAGATTTAGTACTATGATATTGCAGTTAATTATTCATTATTTTAAACTATTTTTTCAAATTTTAAATTTTTATTTCTTTAACTTATATACTAAATAATACCTATAGATTCAGATTCAGAATTTTCTTTTTGTTACAATATTAGTTTTCTAACTAATTTATTATATAACTTTTTCACAGTTTTGTTTTATGAATAAGTTTTTTTATTTAATTGTTTATATTAATGTTTTATAATGCATACTATAATCTATATAGTTTTTCAAATTTTATAAATAAAATATTATTTTTTTTGTTTATTTATGTTAGTTAATTAGTTATATACGCGTATAACTGATTCTGACTTTATATATATATAATACGCTATATATAATACGCAGAGATGTTTAATTTATTTTGTTAAAATGTATCGTTATATTTTGAATAAAGTAAATTCAAAATAAAGTGTTTTAATTTAACTATTTTAGGTTTTATTTTTTAACCCAATACTTGGTTAAAGAAAGTATAACAGGCAAATCAAATTTTGAAAATCATTGTTTTACTTACATAAACTTATGAAGTACAAAATAGCAAGCAATCCGATTATAGTAAATATAAAATTTATTCATCTGATTTTTTTATTTTTAATCAATAAATATATAATATTATTTTAAAAATTTCTAATAATATTATAACATTTTAAAAATAACATTGTTAATATAATATCGTTATTAATACATAATTTTTTCAAAGTTTGCTCATCAACACAATTGCATTATTATAACATTTGTATAATATAATCATTATTTAATTTATTTATTTTGATTATATAATCATTATAATAACATTATGGAACTACTAAAATATTTAAGATATGATTATTTATTCATAATAATAACATAACAAAAATGTTATTATAATATTTATATAATTATTATTTAATCATTATAATAATACTATAAAAATGTTATTTTTTATAATGTCATAAGAACGTGTTTGTGTTGGGCAAAATTTGATAATATGATGTATGAATAACGTTATTGTATTAACAATCTTATTTTTATAATGTTATAATATTATTTGAAATTATTAAAATAATATTATTATAATGTAGTTTTGCTATATGGGCATCTGCAATAATCGGGTGGGGGATGGCGGAATTTCTCACCGGACACCGTGACTTAGCCGAGGAAAAATGACGCCCGAGGCCGAGGTTTTGAACCGG